CTCTTAAATAAGTCCCCAGCAGAGTCGCCAGTTCTGTAACACGGTGGGAGAACTGACTTTAAACAATGTTGCGGATAGCAAGAGTCGCCACCGACTTTTATTTTATCCATAAGGAAAGGTTATAAAAGAACAGGAAAGACCTTAGAGAATATTTTGGGTCCGGGGGGTAGGTTATGAAAAGGGAAGGTGTTAGCACCCTTTTCATCCATGGTTATCCATGGGCTCTTAGGTACTTAAGCTCACTTTTGAATTGTTTTGAAAGTGTAGTGTGTGAATAGCAAAAAATTTCAGAATAGTTTAATAATAATCCGTGTATGGATGTGAAAAAAACTTGTTTGAAAATTTTGTTGGAAATTTGTTTAGGTGTGAAAAAGTTTTGAAGTGAGCAAGCACCTAGGAGTAACCTACCCTAATGTTTAAAGGTCTTTCTTATTCTTTATTCTTTCCTTTAGTAAGACTATCCCTACTATAATGGAGTAGGTAGTCCTTACTTTGGATGTTAAGGGACATGTGAGGGACAATTGGATTTTTGAAGGCTATTGTGGGGTGTAATAAGCAGACTGGAGGGACTATCATCATTTTTCGAAAGGGACTCGATTCGTAAAGGCAACCATAAGGGACTTTGATGATTTTCTTTTTGAGGGACTTGCTTTATACACCCCACTTAACCAATATTCATAGGCAACTTGAGGGATATCCTTAGGAAGTGAGACGGCGATTAAAATCGACTTACGTGTGTGACGTGTTTATTTTAATTATCTTTATTTAAAAGTGATCTAAATTTATTTTAATATTACATACATGTTGTTACACTCCCTAATTACTAACCATAATAATAATTAAATAATTAAACAACTTTACATCCAAGAAACAATTACAAAATAATAAGCAAAATAATTAAATAGCAAAGATAAATAAAATATAAATAAGCAATAATAAATAATAAAGGGGGTTAATTCTAAGTTTACTCGGCAAGACATCGCATCTTGTGCCTACGTATCCTTACGGGAGTGGAATCAGAGTAATCGTAGTTCCCCTCAATAGGGAGGTTAGAAACTTCTTGACTGTGGTCAAGGTCTCAAGGGGAATAAACGCATCTTAAGGACGCGCTTACGTGGAGTGTAGAAACTCCAAATCTCTACGTTGAAATGTTAAGTTGTAATTAGGGTTAAATTAGGGATTCCACGGCGGGAAACCCTAAAATGAGCGCGGCGGCTCTTTGACCTAATGCTAAGGGTAAAATTGTAATTTTGCCTGCGGCGAGGCATTTGTGAAAATTAGGGTTTGTAGTTTGTAGTTTCGAGGATTTGAAATTGAATGTGTGAAGTTTTACGGACTATTGGCGCGGCGGCCAAACAGTTAGACCTAACCTTCAGATGTGTGCAATGTGACAGAAATAATAGTAAACGCGTGAGATAATTGAATCATGCAAACAGAGAGATAATGTCATAATTTAAACCATGCAAGCAGAAATTTAAAGGCAGAATTTAAAGAGCGATTGTTAAGTTCGCGAGGTTACATGAGAGGAGCAGATACAATATGATAATGAAATTTGAATTGAACAATAATAAAATAAAATAAATAATGGTTCTAGTTATTATTTTAAAAAAAAAGATTTTAGTTATTATTTTAAATTTATCTAAAAAAAAAGTTTTTCTTAAAAATAATAGGTTTTCATATTAATTTGGAAAAGATGTTAATGTTATTTATTTTAAAAAACAGATTTTTATATTATAACAAATTTTAATAAATTAATGATAACAACAATAATAATAATGGTAATAATAATGATAATAATGATAATAATAATAAATAATGATAATAATAATAATAATAATAATAATAATAATAATAATAATAATAATAATAATAATAATAATAATAATAATAATAATAATAATAATAATAATAAAGCAATAATGAATTTTAAATGTGCCAAATAACCCAACAATGTTGCTAACGCAGAAATGCGCTCATCGCAACCAGATCTAAATCGGACGAAACAAAATTTATCGCAAAGAAAAAGAAATTAAGCAAAAAATAGTATTATTGCTCACACAAAAATGCGATCATCGCAACCAGATCGAACTAACACAAATGTCACGCGTCATGCACACAAATGTGCAAACATCGTATCGACATAATTCGATCAAAAATCTTATATATATAAACTCTAACAATTTAAAAAATTATATATATATAAACGTAACAGTAATAGATAAAGAAAAAGAAATAACGGTAATAGATGAAGAAAAAGAAATAACGGTAAAAGATGAAGAAAAAGAAACAACAGTAATAGATGAAGGAAAAGAAATAACGGTAAACGATGAAGAAAAAGAAACAATAGTAATAGATGAAGGAAAAGAAATAACGGTAAACGATGAAGAAAAAGAAACAATAGTAATGGATGAAGAAGAAAACTAAATAACGGCAAACGACACTCACTCCTCTTAGGTTTTTTTCATTCTCCCCTTTTTTCCAACAAGGCAACACATGTATATATAGGGAACAAATTAGGGTTAACACCAAATTGTCAATAATGTCCCTAAAGCCCATTTTAAAGCCCAAACTAAATAATTAGTTAAGAAAAAATAAAATTTAAAATAATTTAAAATAATTAAAATAAACTTAAAATAAAAACTAATAATCCTATTGATTCCTAAAATAAAAAATATTATAAAAAGAACAAAATTTTTTTCAATATTTTTTATTTTATGATTTTTTGGATATTTTTATGAATAATTTAGAAAAAAGTGAAAAAAATAATATTTTAAAAAATGATTTAATTAAAATACGAAAATAATAATTAAATAATAATAAAAAAACTATTTTTGTTATTTTTTTAATGAAAGATAGAAAAATTTAGAGTAAAAATAATAAAAAACAAAAAAAAAAGTGACAAGGGTGAGATTCGAACTCTCAACCTCTCACACTCATAACTCCTTACACATGTCCTCCTGCCAATTGTGCCATTTTTACTTTTTAGAAAAAAAATGCATGCCATATGATATTTACCTGCAAAAAGTCAAACGACTACACAAATTTGTTAGTAATTGATTAAATGCAATGAAATGCGACGACAAATCTTAGGGCAAAATTTGGGGTATTACAGTTATTATGATAATATTTCTCACCCAACCTCTCTTTGATGTTGGCAAAAAAAAAAATCATGAAGTTTGACTTTGGTTTGACCACAGTTGACCTCAGTTTGACCTTTTAACTGCATTGACTGCTTTTGACTTATCTGATCATCTGACTGAGCAAACTTTTGAGAAAAGTCTTGAAACTTGACATGGGGCTTCTTATACACATATAAGATGTTATGAAGCTCACTTGAAGTCTTGGAAGTCCATTTAGCCTGATTAAAGTCAAAACCCTAGTTTTGGATGCACTGCTTAGGAGGTGCATTGTCTGAGGGAATTGTCAACTCTTCTGACCAATTGTGAATTTTGTGAACCTTGTGAACCTTCTTGGAACACAAAGTCTTGTATTGTGAGGGCAAATTTTGGGGTGCAACAACACGCAACATATAAACCTAAACACAATACCAACTTTTCTGTTACCCCATTTGATGAGTAATGAATAGTTACGGGCTCAAGGTTGATTAACTGAGACATCATATAAAGTATAACAAAAAAACACACACACATATACACACAAAACATATAAACCTAACCTGTGTTCCTGCCATGAAATACACCGTGTGCGGAAATTCTGTTCGAACTAAGCCCAGGGTGTCACGTAAAATATCGAAGCTGTCATAAGTTCCAAACAAAAATAAATTCATGACACAAAGATAGCAGTATGAAGCACAAATAAAAAAGATCAATACAACACTTTACTTTTCTAAGGAACAAACAAGCTCAAACTCTCAATTATACATATGCTCCAACAAAAGCTTATTAATAGCTCATGTATTTTTATTCTGAGGTGCACCGAGTATCAAAGGAAATTATTTCGCCAGTGTAACTAAATAAAGAGGTTCTAGCAGCGTGAAAAGGTACCAGAATGAAAATAACAGTCGTTAGATCCATTGAACAATGATAATCCAACCATCTCATCTGCAGCGGCGTATGAATGGACGATTTCCATTAAGACAAGCAGTCTTAGTCCTGTAGAGCCAAAAGCAGAGTTAGCAAAATAGTTGTCAATTGTCACCCTTGCAGACATGGGTTTATAGCTATTATCTTTGTATTTCAATGAACTCAAGTAAGGCCAAAAATATAACCCAACATCATATTTTTTCTGTCTCAATGTCCAATACTAATGATGGTTGCGTTTAAACATCTTCTCACCGCGCGCCTGGTCGACTAACCGCTTGAAGTCATCGGGAGTACCGTATCGACTACTAGTAGCATAAAAATTGGTAACCTGCACCAATAAGATAGAAGTTTGAGCATGTTCCTAACTAAATTTCCTAACTCTTCTTGTGCATTCCAGATATAGTAGCTATCTATATCTCCATTCTATCTTTTATTTTTGTTAATTTTATTTTATCGACACTAAATTTTCAATATTTCAATCGCCTTAATTATACATTGTTAAAGTAAAAATCGATAATTAAATATATCTACTTATAGTTCGATATCATTTATACTATTTTTCATTACCATGCACTTGTGGTTTGCATGTAAAAAGGTGGCAATCTTACCATAATGCTCTATGTTACCTCGAAGGCCACTCGATGTGAGAACCTATTCAACCTGATTGATAAATTTCTTCAATATTGCTTGATATATCTATTCACGAAGAGGAAAAATGTATTTAATTTGTTATCCAAACATCTATCAAAAAAAAGGCGTCTATACTCTCTACCGTGGAAGAGGGGTTTATGAGTCAAGTCATGACGTGTCCCATTCTTTTAAAAATAAAATAAAAAAACAAGAATAGCAAAAGTTCTATTCTCAATTGACTTGACCCAGCGTCCTTTAATTCTTCATTTCTAATTTCCACACTGCGTAACCGTTGCCATTGAAAAATAAAAAACACAAAATACAAAAATGCGGGGTTGTGTTTCCACACTGGCGGCCTTTGCCGCATTGGCGGTGACGGTTACGGTTGTATACGGCAGTTTCCCGACGAGTTTTCTTCCTCTTGAACGGACTATACCTCTTAACCACCGAGTTGAACTGACGACACTCAGAGCTCGCGACAGAGCTCGTCACGGTCGAATCTTGCAAGATACTGGCATTCTCGACTTCTCAGTCCAAGGAACCTCCGATCCTTACTTAGTTGGGTAATTCTTTTTCAATCTTCTTGCTTCATTTTCTTAACATTGATTATTATTTTATTTTTTTTAATTTAAGTTTTTTTGTTATGTTGTGATAATCTTGGAATGGTTGTGCAGGCTGTATTTCACGAAAGTGAAGATGGGTTCTCCTGCCAAAGAATTTTACGTTCAGATTGATACTGGAAGTGATATCTTGTGGCTTAATTGCAATACTTGCAATAATTGTCCTCAATCTAGTGGCTTAGGGGTGAGAATTTTGTGCTTTTTAATTTTCTTGACATTTTGTTATCATCTATGAAACATGAAACTCGGACACCGGAAACATGACACAAACACACTGACATACTCCACCGATAATAATTTGAAAAAATAAATAAATTACACCGATAATAATTTGAAAACTAAACAAATTAACATAATTACAAGTGTCGGTGTTAGTTTCGGACACGGACACTGACATTGACACATCTTTTTTCAAAGTTGTCAGTTACTATTTATCTATGTGTTATTTTGAAAGTTTAAAGTGGCATTTACTAGTTTTTCATAAAATCATTAGCCTCTATTATACCCTTACTATAATAGAGAGAGAGAAATTGATGCGATGAGAAGATAAACTAACAAGGGTATAATAGAGGCTAATGATTTTATGAAAAATAACAAAATTAATTGATTTTTTGGGTGGTGTAGATGAACTTTGACCGACCGTTAAAATGGAATGGCGAGGGTTTCGTTATTAGTGTTTAATGGTTAATGTGATTGTTGTCTATTATGTAGATTGAGCTGAATTTCTTTGACACGGCTAGCTCGTCCACTGCTGCACTGGTTTCCTGCTCGGATCCGGTGTGTTCTTATGCGGTTCAAACTGCCACGAGTCAGTGCTCATCTCAGGTTAATCAATGCAGCTACACCTTTCAGTATGGAGATGGAAGTGGGACATCCGGTTATTATGTTTATGACACTATGTATTTTGACGTGATCATGGGGCAGTCTATGTTCTCTAACTCTTCTTCTACCGTCCTTTTTGGGTGAGTCCTCAATCCTCATATGTTATTTGTGGTATGGTAGGGAGGGTGTACTCAATGTAGGGTTGGGAATTTATAAAAGAGAAAATCTTTTTTGGGTGAAGATTACATTTTGAGTTCCATTGGTAAAAAATATTGTGGATCAAACTGATAGTTATTGCATATAAATTACTAATTATATAGTAAATCTTGTTGATTGATTAAATTTTGAAATATTGGGATTGGTAAGTGGTTTTAATTGATCTTATTGGGATGGTTGTTTTGGAAATAGTTGTAGCACTTATCAGTCTGGGGATTTGGCTCGGACAGAAAAGGCGGTTGATGGAATTTTTGGGCTTGGTCCTGGTGCTTTATCTGTTATATCACAATTGTCCTCACGAGGCATGACACCCAAAGTGTTCTCTCATTGCTTAAAAGGAGACGGCAATGGAGGAGGTGTACTGGTTCTTGGTGAAATTTTGGAGCCAAATATTGTTTATACTCCACTTGTCCCATTACAGTATGTTCTCTCTTCATAATTTCCTTCCTTGTTTTCTTCTCCCAACTCAGTCGGTGAACAAATTTTTCCCGAATACTTTATCACATTAACATGAAGGGAAAGTATAAGTTCTACTCATTTTTGCGACAAATATATTATGATAGTTTAGATGACATGAAACATAAAATAAGCACTTGGTAAATGAATGTGAATCCTGGAAGTAGTAAACCATGGCCTTAACAATGTGTTGTTTTGGTTTTGTTGTAGTAGTAATAAATATTTCAAAATGAATATATACAACACACTTGTTCTAATTTAAAGTTTTTGAATTGAATATAAAAGATAATATGGCACTAATGCACTCAGAAAATAGAGTTCTTAAAATGCTTATCATGCCATTATTCCCGTTGTGAAATAACTTGCACTTTATATCAGTATATTGATCTGTGCTATATCAGACATACTGCCCGGTGTTGATCGAATTTCAGGCCTCATTACAACTTAAATCTTCAAAGCATTGCTGTCAATGGACAACTTCTCCCAATCGAGCAAAATGTATTTGCAACAGCTAACAACCGAGGAACTATAGTTGATTCTGGTACTACATTGGCATACCTTGTTCAAGAAGCTTATGATCCCTTTCTCAATGCTGTAAGTTCTGTTTTACCTCTTTTGAACTTTTGAAACACTACTCTTCGTTATAGCTAAGTAAGTCCCGTGATTTTATTGCCATTTGTCCAAATTTATTTATTAAGGCACATAAAATCTGATATATGACCCTCAATAATCAATATCTGGATGTTGCAAAATGTGTTGGACATTGAAGAATGAAAATTTAATTTGCAGTCAATTTTTTCTTTTTTCAATAGGGTGTGTAAATAGATTAAACAAATCCTTCTTTTGGATTATCTATCTTGTGTTTTATACCATTAAGAAATAATCTTGATCTTCCCATATTTTAGAAATGATATTCCATGCCCTGATATTCAATATGTCAATGAACTTGTAGATAACAACCACTGTGTCACAGTTTTCCAAACCCATTATTTCCAAAGGAAATCAGTGCTATCTCGTCCCAACCAGGTTATTTCAAATCTGTCTCAGTATTTTAGTAAAATATATTTGTATGTCTATTTCTCTTTGTTCATAAAAAAAGATATTTTGCACTATTAGGACACCTGAGATGTCATTTTGATTGTTTTTCTCATTCAGCCTAGGTGATATATTTCCTAAAGTCAGTTTCAATTTCATGGGTGGAGCATCCATGGTTTTAAAACCAGAACAGTATCTTATACATTATGGTTTCCTGGTAATTATGTCTTTCTATTTGTTGATCACATTCTTCTTTTTGCCTAACTAGGAGTAGTTCTTGTGATATGCACTACTTTGTTTTTGTAGGACGGTGCTGCAATGTGGTGCATTGGTTTCCAAAAGGTGCAGAAGGGATTCACGATTTTAGGAGGTTAGAAAGCTGGTAAAATTATTTTAACAGAATAAAATCTACAAGGAGTTTGTAGAAATAAGCCCTTTCTCTAATTTGATTATGATACGGGCTCTCAAGTTTTCCCTCATTAAGAGCAACATGTTACATGGTGTGCCATGAAGTTTCGATGGTCCACCATAGCGGGATCTAGGGAAGGAACAGACCCATTAGTGGGCCTATTGAATAGCAAATAACATTGCCTAATCACTTTATCAGGTCATTACTCTAGTTGTATTTTCAGTATTGGGTTTTTTATCAACTAAGTTGTTCATTCATTTGCAGATCTTGTCCTAAAGGATAAGATATTCGTATACGACTTAGCTAATCAACGAATTGGGTGGACCGACTATGATTGTGAGCTTACCACATTATCATTTCCTTTATTGCATATATACTACTATACATTGTCATAATCTTTAAGTTGATGCTCACTACTCAGGTTCCTTGTCTGTAAATGTCTCTGTGGCTACAAGCAAGAGTAAGGATGCATACATCAATGCAGGACAGATTAGCGTCAGCTCCTCGCATGATGGTTTTCTCCCCAAGTTGCTACTTATAAGCGCTGCGGCTTTTCTTTTGCATATAGTACTTTTCATTGAGCCCCAGATTTTGTAGATAGTATTCAAGAGTCAAAGCTCATTCTCCGAAAAGCATACTGGGGTCAGTCATTGTCTAATTTATTGTCAGCATTGTCAGCATGGCATACCCTTGATATTTTAGAACAGGAGTGGTTCCTGTTTTCCGCCGCCCTAGTTTGAGGCAAGTGCGGATCTCACTGTTAAAGGGATATGTTGAGAAATGGCAAATTTGTAGATGGAAATTCTATTATTTATATAAAGTTTACCAGAGGCCACTTCCACTCTACCAGCCACTGTTCCCATTGTTGTTTTGTAACTATAGTTAGTGACAGTTAAAGAAGTTAATTATGAATTTTATTTGTATACTGGCTCATGGAGTCATGGACCATTGATCTCAGACTAGAGCTCTATAAAACAAAATGTATATCATTGTGATCAATACGTTCCTCTTTTATTAGAATCATTATATTTTCGTTATTATGTTTCTGTTGAAACTGTCATTTAGGGGTTAGTAATTTTTGTTGTAATTAGTTAGGTGGCTGTGCTTCTTTGATATAGATAGTTTGGATTGTTAATAGTCAGCTATTTAAACCCTTGTAATGTCTTTTATGCATCTTATAGTATGATTGAATTTGTGGTATAAGATGGAATGTAATAGAATGGAGTGGTAATTAATAAGATTCAATCGTTTGGAATTGTAAATAATAGATGAAGTGGAATGGAACACGATGGAGTCTATTTCATCTCATTCAGCTCAATTCTTTATTTTTTTGTTCCATCTAATTTATGGTGTATATAATGGATAATGTTTTTTTTAATAAAATAACTAAACAATAAAATGAGTTATGTATTTCATTTCATTATGCTCAATTTCTCAATTCTGCTCATATTTCATTTCACTATGTTATATTTCATTTCAATGTTATGTTTAATCAATCTAAAAGTATATTTAGTTTTTGTTTCATTCTATTACAATATGAGTTTATGCTTAAACCTTAAGATAGGTGTAAGATATTGGATCGAACTCTAGTATGGTCGAAGTCTGTTCGCGAGTAATGCGTATTGTAGTCGAAGTTTGTTCTAACATGCATTATTCAATATTGCTAGGTTTGTTAGCATGTTGAATTGGGTCTTACTTGTAAGCCCAATTGGTTAAGTTAGCTTGTACCCTAAGTTAGCTTCTAATGGGTAATTGTTAAAAAGTTCATTAGGTTAGCATGCTAATTTTCTTATAAATAACATGCTAGTCTCTCATCTTAGATAAGGAAAAATAGGAAGATAAAATTCTAATTCAAGTGAGAGAGGTTATTTGTTATTCTTGTATACTTGTAATTTTGTTTGAAAGAGAAAGGAAAGAATAACAGTTTGTAACCAATCCTTGTTGTTTTACCTTGTTTTCTTTGTTAACCATAACCCTTGTGTGTTTCTTGATCATAAAGAAATCGTTTACATTTTGTTTCAATACATCCTATTCACAACAAATTGGTGCGGTGAGCGTGGAGAAGATGCCTTCAACAAAGTATGAGATTGAAAAGTTCACCGGAGTGAACAATTTCGGTCTGTGGCGCTTTAAAATGAATGCCCTACTAGTTCAGCTGGGTTGTTTGGAAGCGTTGGAGGGAGAGGCAGCCATGGACGCTGCGTTAACAACAAAAGAAAAGATGACCATGATTGAGAAAGTCCACGTCACAATATTGTTGAGCCTTGGTGATAAGGTTCTTCGACAGGTATCAAAGGAGACTATAGCATCAGGATTACGGGTGAAACTTAAAAGTTTGTACATGACCAAATCACTGGTGAATCGACTCTACCTGAAGCAAGTTTTGTATTCATTCAAGATGAGTGAAGACAAAATGTTGGTTGAGCAGTTGGATATGTTCAACAAGTTGATTCTTGATCTTGAAAATATTGATGTGAAGATCGATGATGAAGATCAAATATTGGTGTTGTTGTGTGCTTTGCCCAGAACACATGCTCACTTCAAAGAAAATTGCATGAAAGGGAGTCCCTGAGCTTTGAAGAAGTTCAATCAGCCTTATATTCTAAGGAATTGAACGAACGAAAGGAGCATAAACCTTCGACGGTGGGCGAAACTTTGGCCGTTAAGGGAAAATTCTTGCTAAAGGATGGTAAGTTCGACAAGAAGAAAGGTAAAAGTCAACAGAAGTCTTATAGTGGCGAAACATCTGATATTCGATGTTATCACTATAAGAAAGAAGGTCACACAAGAAAGGCGTGCCCTGAACGCCTGAAAGATCATGGAGGTAAGGATAATGACAACACAACCATTGTTCAAGATGACTTTGACTCATCTGATATTCTTGTGGTTTCAAGTGCCGACTCAAGAAAAGAGTGGATTATGGATTCAGATTGCACTTGGCACATGACTCCAAATAGAGAATTGTTCGAGGAGCTATGTGATCAAGATGGTGGATCGGTATTGCTGGGAAACAACAAATCTTGCAAAATTGCAGGTATTGGATCTGTGAGATTCAAGCTCCATGATGAGTCAATAGGGTTATTGACTGAAGTCAGGTACGTACCTGATTTGAAGAGAAATTTGATTTCTCTTGGTGAATTCGACAGGAAGGGATATGTTTTTCAAGGAGAGAAAAGTATCCTAAGAGTCATGAAGGGGTCGAAGGAACTCTTAAGAGGTGTGAAGAAACAAGGCTTGTATACCCTTGAGGCTGAGGTTGTAAGTGATTCGATAAATGTTGCATTCATGAAATCTGTGTCGAAGACAAAATTATGGCACATGAGGTTGGACCATGTCAACAAAAGAGGCCTGGTCGAATTGGGGAAGCAGAACCTGCTAGGAGGCGACAAGGTCGAAAAGTTGGAGTTTTGTGAATCTTGTGTATTTGGTAAATCCTGTAGGGCGAAGTTTAACAGAGTCAAGAAAAGAACACATGGATCCCTGTAGTACATTCATGCTGATCTTTGAGGGCCTATAAGGAATCCTTCACACTCAAGTGCAAGGTGTTTTCTATCCATCGTTGATGATTATTCCAGAAAGCTATGGGTATTCATCCAGAAGATGAAGGATGAAACTTTTGAGAATTTCAAAAGTTGGAAGGTTTTGGTCAAAACTAAAACTGACAGAAAGGTTAAGAGGTTGAGAACCGACAATGGCGTTGAGTTCTGCAACAAAACTTTCGACAATTATTGTATTGAGTCTGGAATTGCAAGGCATAAGACTGTAGCAGGTACTACTCAACAAAATGGCTTAGCTGAGAGATTCAATCGAATAATCCTTGAAAGGGTTAGATGCATGTTGGTTAGTGCTGGCCTGAAGAAGGTGTTTTGGGCGGAGGCTGTTCCGACAAAAGCTTATCTAATAAATAGATGTCCCTTGACTGCCTTGAGAATGAAGACACCTGAAGAAGTGTGGCCTATGCTCATATTAGGCAAGATAAGGTCGAACCTAGAGCTCTAAAATGCATGTTCATGAGATACCCTGAAGGAGTCAAAGCTTATAGGCTACGGTGCCTAGAGCCAGGTCACAGGAGGTGTATCACCAGTCGAGATATAGTTTTCAATGAAGCAGAGATGGCTTTCAAGAAAATTGATGATGCTGATGAAGAACTGGAACAGGAAGAGATTCCTGTTGAGGTGGAGCATGTTGATGCTGAATTGTGTACATTAGATGAAGTCGAAGAAGACGCATAAGATGTTTTCGAAAATGAGGAGACTGATAATGACTACCTGCTAGCAAGAGACAGGTCGAAGAGAGTCATCAAGCCACCTCAGAGACTTGGGTATGCAGATCTTATAACTTATGCCTTAATCTCTGCAAGTGAGGTTCTAAACGAAGAACCTAGAGACTATAAGGAAGTTATGAGGAGTCGAAAGAAGACTAAATGGCTGAAGGCCATGGATGATGAGATGAAATCTCTTCATGATACCAATACCTGGGAACTGATCAAGAAACCTGTTGGAGCGAGGTTAGTCATCTATAAATGGATTTTCAAAGTTAAGGAAGGAAACGAATGAGTGGCGTCGAAGAGATACAAGGCAAGATTGGTCGTTAGGGGGTTCACTCAGAAAGAAGGTGTCGACTTCAATGATGTGTTCTCTCCTTTTGTGAAGCACAGATCCATTCGAATGTTGCTTGCCACGGTGACCCAGTTCGACCTTGAACTGGAACAAATGGATGAAGACTGCATTCTTGTATGGTGATCTAGATGAAACAATCCTTATGAGGTAACCTGAAGGGTATGTCGAAAAAGGGAAGGAAGATTATGTGTGCAAATTTAAGAGATATTTATATGGACTAAAACAATATCCTCGATAGTGACACGCATAAGTTTCATCAGAAGTCAGTTCGACCACTGTGTTTACTTCAGATTTTGACCTAAAAATTCATTTGTTATTTTGTTGCTTTATGTGGATGATATTCTAATAGCAAGCAACAATGTTGAAGATGTAATGAGGGTGAAGGATGAACTAAATAAGGAGTTCGACATGAAGGATCTGGGAACTATGTACAGGATTCTTGGGATTGACATCTGAAGAGATAGAAAGTAGTCAAAATTATGCTTATCTTAAGAGGCATACCTACAGAAGATTCTCGAAAAGTATGGTATGTCGAATTCAAAGTCTGTTGTGACTTCGACAAACCCTCAATTCAAGCTAAGTGTAGATCAGTGTCCCAACATTGATGTCGAAAGAGCTTATATGAATAGCATTCCATATGCTAATATAATGGGTTCCTTTATGTATGCTATGGTATGTACTAGAACCGACATAGCATATGCAGTAATTCTTGTAAGCAGGTACATGGCGAATCCTAGAAAGGCTCACTAACAAGCATTGAAGTGGATTCTAAGGTACATAAATGGGTCTCTGAATAGAGTACTAATTTATGGTGAAGCCTTGGGTGAAGATAGTAAAGCAGCAATCGAAAGATATGTCGACTATGATTATGCAGGCTATATGGATTCCATAAAATATATTTCTGGATATGTGTTCACTATGCTTGAGGCAATAATCAGTTGGAAAGCAACACTTCAGAAGGGCATTGTCTTATCAACC